GAAAAAGTAGTCCATGCATTTATTACTTCCCGGCTGGACTACTGTAACTCACTTTATGTTGGGGTTAGTCAGGCTTCACTTTCACGTCTCCAGCTCATACAAAATGCTGCAGCTCGTCTTTTAACAGGAACTCACAGGTTTGAGCACATTACTCCGGTTCTGTCCTCTCTTCACTGGCTTCCTGTATGTGTCAGAGTTGATTTTAAAATTCTCCTGCTGACATTCAAGTGCATTAACGGCCTCGCACCATCATACGTCTCCGACCTTCTTCATCCTTATACTCCTTCTCGGGCTTTGAGATAATCAGACCAGCTGCTTTTGGCCGTACCAAAAACCCGGCTGAAGCTCAGAGGAGATCGAACGTTCTCAGTCGCGGGCCCTAAACTCTGGAACAATCTGCCCATCAACATTCGACAGGCCACCTCAGTCTCTGCTTTTAAATCTCTCCTAAAAACACATTTATACTCATTGACATTTAACACAGGGTGATCAGCTTTAGATCTGGTTTTTCATTGATGCTGATTCTGTTTATGCTTTTGTTATTATTCCTATTTAACACAAGGTCATCAGATCTGATTTAGTATTTCATTGTTTCTGACTGAGTTTATGCTTTTTGTTATTATTTCCTTGACTTTTGACACAACGTGATCTGATTTAGTATTTCATTGTTTCTAATTGTTTTTGGTTTTATATTTTTATTCCATGTGCTGTAAATATATCTTGCTACTTTTTATCTGATGATGTGATATTTTTGTTAAGCACTTTGGTAACAGTTTCTGTTTTAAATGTGCTCTATAAATAAATCTGACTTGACTTGACAGTCATATGTTCTTTTGCCACCTCCATGATAAACCATGTCAACCTCACTACAGTAATTCTGTTCAAGTTCAGAAGCACTGTGATGGGGGCCGAGATGGCGTAGAGACAGGGCAGCCGGCTCGGGACCCGAAAGTCCCAAGTTAGATCCCCAGTCACTGCATACCTCGTGGTGTCTCTGGGCAGCACACCTTATCCCCAAAATGCCCCCCGGGCGCTTTCAATAGCTGCCCACTGCACTATGGTGGATGGGTTAAATGCAGAGACTAATTTTGCCATTGTATGGAAATATGCAGTGATGACAATGTGATGATATTATTATTATTATCTTATCATACCATCATGTTTAATGGTGATCCAACTGTGTTCTCAAAATGCCCATCCACATTCTGGCAGGTTGTTTTTATCCCAGATGCATCCTTTTCCAGTATGAAGAAGACCATAACTTACCTTCAACATATATTAAAATATTAGATGTTGGGCCATGCCTGACCTGTTTAACAGGAGCTGCCATGTTGTAGTTTTGGAACCAGAGTCTGTGCACTAGAACTGTTGTGTTTTAAGTCCTGCCTACTCCCCTACACACAACCTGGTGTTACACAGCTTTTCTTTTAAGCATGAAATAATAAATTATTGGTAAACATGTTAGAAAAATTAATATTTGAACATACAGCAACAAGGTAAGAACTGCAGGATTTAACACGTGTAAAAAAAAATATTATTAACAGTTGATGGGCGTAATGGGCCTATAAACTGTCTTCTCATCAAATGAACATAGTGTGTTTTTGTCTATCTTGTCTGATCAGTTTTATGTTTTGAGCATTTCATTTTTAGTTTTTTTAAAGTTGAACACAGAAGAGCCAATTATACGTTACATTTTTGTTGTAAGTAAAAGTATTAAAGGCTTTTAAGTCTACTAGAAGGAATATAAAATAGGACATTTGCTAAAAAACAATCATATCTATAGACATCCATGGACTAAAAATATTTTTAATCAGGTGTAGGATTTGAGGTTTCCTAGCATGCTGCTTTGAGCTCCAATAAATTGAAACAGAGCAATCTGTTTCCTAAATGCTTCATTTATTCACCAGCTATTACAAAGTAGGTTAATCTGAGCTTATGCACTATTGCATCTTCTTTACCTGCTTGTTCCTTCTGAAGAGACCGGAATGTAGCCCAGTGTGATGCTGGCACTGAGAACAGAACCCACAACCTCAGCATGGGTCTGTTCATTTGGTCCATGGCTCATTTTCTGTTCAATACATCAGAACAGTGAAGTGGGAAATACAAAAGTCAAGTAATAATGTAATGCTCGTAAGCTTCAGTAAAACAAATGGTTTTACATCAGCTCTTAATACACAGAATTAAATGAAAATAAGGCATTTATATGATGACTGACACTAAATAATGTATTCAGAATGATTAGGTTTTGTTCTGCAGGGTCTCCAATTTCATATAAACTGTTCTTTAAAATAGTCAATAATTAGACTTGATCTAAATGTTCTTCATATCCTCCAACTTCTTTGTTCAGAAAGTAATTTAGTCTTTGGAGTACATCCCACACAGCAGGTGTGACCCACAATTGAAACACTGGCCCCAGGTTGACTGGGAGTGTAATTCCTTTTGTAGCCATCAGAGTGTATAAAATGGAAAATTATCCTGAGTCACAGTACAGAGCAAAAGGTAAGGAAAGTTAGTATGCTTTCAAGAAAATATCACCCCCCCCACCACCACCACCACACACACACACACATACACACACACCATGGATTCATTTTGTAGTTTAAGTGTTTGCAATTAGTACGTCTTTATGTTTGCAATTATAAAAGACAGTTATTAAGAGACAGTGCAAACTGCAGCAGGGGAAGTGATAACTTTATTTGCATATACTGAATATTTTTCCCCTTTTTAGAAATATTTGTTTGGATTATTTTGCTGTTGATGCTGCTGCAGAGGATCCAGGCGATCATCGACATGATGAAGCATACATTTTAATACCTCCTGCCTTGTGTTTCCATGGCATAATGAGATAAGTGGCAGTAAAATATATCACAACCTATGACTCCAATAATCTAACATACGTATATTACATATCAGTATATAATATATTTATAACATATCAATGCAAGATATGTAGAAGTGACCAAATAATAACTTTATACGATCTCATGAATGAGATGTATGCACACACTGTGCCCACACTGCTACCTTGTTGAGATGTATTTTCAGGGCTTTTAGACACTGAAAGTCCTCGTTTTTCTTATCCGTTTCATTAAAACTGAATATACGGTAAGTGGTGTGTTCCTTTGTGCCCTTAGGCACTGCAGGAATATGATGTTGTTCATAATATTGCGTGGAAGCAGCTTTGTTCATGTTGTACCGTTGGATTATATGCGGAGTTGTAAGAGTATAAGTACTGTGTCTGGTCACACTATGCGGACTTTACTTGAATACGCAGAGAACAGAAGACAAATTGTGATACTGTCAATAGAGCAACAGAAAGAACCATCAAAAAGAAAGAGACCCTGAAGACCACAGTCTTCACACTGACCACAAAACATGCATGTTAGGCTGATTGGTAACTCTAAACTGTCCCTAGGTGTGAGTGAGAGAGTGAATGGTTGTTTGTCTCATTTGTCTCTATGTGTCTCTGTGATGGACTGGAGGAGACCTGTCCAGGGTGTCTCCCGCCTCTCGCACAGTGACTGCTGGATATGCACACCAGTGGCCCCTGCAACCCAAAAAGGAAGAAGTGGATAAAGATAATGGATGGATGGATGAATAGTACAGCAAATAATTATTAGCAGGATTTTGTTCATATTAGTTGCTTTAGCTGTGGAACCAACAAATAAGAATAAGTGAATAAGATTCAGCAAAAATGACAGATTCATCCATCCATCCATCATCTACTCGTTTCTTTCTTTTCGGGTCACAACGGTCACTGGTGTCTATATCCAGCAGTCACTGAGTGAGAGGTGGGAGACATCCTGGACAGGTCTCCAGTCCATCATAGGGATACATGACAAATGAGACAAACAACCATTCACTCATTCACTCACACCTAGGGACAATTTAGAGTTACAAATCAGCCTAACATGCATGTTTTTGGTCTGTGGGAGGAAACTGGAGTACCCGGAGAAAGTCCACGCATTCACAGAGAGAACATGCAAACTCCAACAAGAAAGGCCCCCGGCCGGGATTTGAACCGACGACATTCTCGCTGAGAGGCAATAACTCTACCAACTGCGCCACTGTACCATCCAGAACCGATTCAAACCTACTGAAACTATAAATTAAATCTACATTATTTTGTGTTTATTATTATACTTTAATGATACTGAATGTAGATGACAACTGTATCCTGATAACTGTAATGTCATCCCTACAATTTGTAAACATTTACCAGATTAAAAAAAGAAATTCAAAAGTGATAGGCATATATATCATCATAAATAATCAACATTTATTTCCACTTTTTGTACACTGAACGTGCATTTCAACAAAATTAAAATAGATAATATAAATACCTCTACTGTAACACAGTTACAATAAATATGGCTATACAGAGTCTAGGTAAAATAGGAAAAAAAGTCAGTCTCCACTGCTGTGTAACACCGAGACATTCTCAAGAAACACTGGACATGTCTTCTGATTTCACACATTTTTTAAAATGAAGTGATGGACAGGTTTGACGTCTGTGCTGTGGTAAAAACTCTCCCTGGTTTCATATGAAATGTGTCTTCAGTAAATTATTTTGTTACAAAATGTTCACAGTGTCAGCGTGACAAGTGTTGAAATGCCAGTACACAAAATCTTACCAACTTTCACCATAAACAACCCTTTATGTTTCAAAGAGGAGCCTTTTACAACGAGATGAGCTGAGCATCTTCACCACACACATATATGCAAAGTTAATAAATTAACTTGAAGAATATGTACAGTTTGAAGCGAGAACTCTTCCTCAGGTTGACTTTTGTTGTAAAAAGAGAAATAAGGAAAACAGTTTAAAAACCCGCCTATCTGAAAGTGACTGAAAACTTGTGACACCAAGGCGGTGAGGAGATTATGTTACAGAGAAACATCAACACTTTAACAGCCATCTGCAAATATTACATACAGCACTTTAGAATAATTACCAAGAAACTGATCTGATAACGTGCAAAAATAAACACACCTAGTCTGTCACAAAAACTCCCACGCACAGTGTTAATCTTTTACATGATTTACAAGGAATATTTAATGTATAGGTCAGTTACTAAATATCATCACACAAACATGTTTTACCTATTGCCATAGTCTCTCTCCTAATGTCAAAATTATCCCATGCACCACCTTCCGTTTTCATTCTTTAGCTTCCATCAAAATATGGGAATGTTACGTAAGTTTGTGTGAAAGTTGTGCTTTCAGAGCATCGTGATACTAGAAGCTAGGCTCGTCAAGTAAGAGAGTGCTAATGCAGTTGAAGTTCGTTCTAGTGCTTATTATATAAATGATCAGTGTGAAACAGTATTTAAAAATAGGAAAACAAGGTTTAGAGAATTTCAGCTTCAGTGTCTAAAGTTAACTTTCACAGCATTGATAGCAAAGTCCTCATTCATAAACACATTTTGTGCTGTATTGATAATAAATGAGTATACAAATAGTTATAAATCTTTGTGAAAATAGACAAAAACAGAGAGAACCATAAAAACAAGGAAACGAGTCGTGGTTGTGTTTTCTCCTTGGCCTCAGAAGCCAGGCACGTGGCAGTACGCCTCCAAGGAGGCCAACAGGATGTAGATGAACCAGAGGGAGAGGAACAGGAAGACGGTGAGGAGCTTGGCTGTCCGTGGGCCCCCGAGTTCTCCGCCTGAAACGCTGGGACGTCGGCGGTAGAGCAGCACCAGCACGCACACCAGCGCCATGATGGTGAAGAGCGTGACGGAGAAGGCCAGGGAGCCTGGGTTCACCTTGAACGACCTGCCTTTGGTTTGCCAGTAAATAGCGGCGATGGTCCACGCCACTCCGATGCCCAGGAACACATTCACCGCGTTGCTGCCTGTCACGTTCCCAATGGAGGCGTCTGCGTATTGATCCTGAATGGCAGCCACCTTACTTGCAAATGTGTCTGTAAAAGAAAGATTCATTCAGAGATTTAGAATTGATTCAACTCAGATGCAGTTGTGTGAACACATGACAGGAGTACAGTTTTGTCTAAAACTCCTTCCTGGTGACAAATAAAACTGCTCCACCTGGGTGTATCCCAGGCGCGATGGGTTAAATGCAGAAAACCAATTTCGCCATTGTATGGGAATATAGAATAATGACAACACATAGCAAATATAACAGGAAATGACAGTAAGGAAGTTGTTGGGTGACCTTGTAAAAACAGTTTCAAGTCTCCTTGGAACTGATTCTGCTCATCAAACCCCTCAGTGAACCCTGGTGTCCTATTGATGTGCTTGTTGTCATCTGGGAGGGAGCCTCCCATCAGGATAAAAATCTTCCATCACAGATAACAGTGATTGCTCACAATAACGTTGTATTGATTTGCAGTGACCCTTCTTTCAACAAGGATTAAGAAGACCCATACCATGCTAGCAAATTGCACCAGTCACTACATTACTTCAGTATACAAAGACTAGGATTTTGATATTTCATTTATTTTTATCTCAACTTGGTCGAACAAACAGTAGACTACAAGTAACATGCAATGTTAAATTAGACAAAACTTTTAAATATATTTATTCTCATCATAGGCTTAACATATTGGTAGTTGAATGGCAGTTCACAAAAATAGTTTACCACCCCAAGAATAAAATTGAATTAAATGTAAGGAATAATTGTTACACTGTTTTGCTTGAACTGGCAGGGATTTTATTGCCAACTGCTTCTCGTATTTTTTGTCAAGACGCTAAGCTAAGCTAAGCTAAGCTAAGTTAAGCTACATAGTTTTCCTGTCTGTGCTGTAGTTCTGTATTTAAAGAAGCTGAAGGAGCATGTTCACTGTCCTTATAGTGCTGTCCAGAAAAGGATATACTGTACAGTAAATCTGCCATCCCAGAATGTCTAGTCACTAATTCCTCCAGAACAAGAAAATGAATTGTTGCTGTTTTATTTTTATTTATTGGCAAAATAAGAAAATCTAATAATAATAATAATAATAATGTGCTATGTATTGTCATCATTGTATGTTGCCATACAATGGCGAAATTAGCTCTCTGCATTTAACCCATCCACCACCAGGTGGTGCAGTGGGCAGCTATTGAAAGTGCCCAAGGAGCATTTTGGGGATAGGGTGTGCTGCTCAGAGACACCACTAGGTTCGTTTTTAACAACACCTTAAAACAATCCTTTTAAAACTAGAACAAAAAAAATTCCTTTATGTGCTTCAAACTGATCAGTTGAAATAATAAGAGAAAGCATTGTAAATAAAAATAAAACCACAAAGGGCAAAAGAAGATGAATATTAGCTTATTTCTGGCCAACATCTTTAACACCTCACTTACCCTGGAGACAGTTCTCACCTGCCTGAAGACTGCCACCATCATCCCAGCCCCGAAAAGCTTTAAAGTGACTGGTCTGAATGACTATCGGCCAGTGGCCCTCACCCTGATAGTCGCTAAATGCTCCGAAAAACTGGTTATAACTCACGTCAAGACAACCATAAACATCAACGAGGACCCTCATCAGTATGCATACCATGAGAACCGATCAACAGAGGATGCCATCTCCTCTGTGGTCCACACTGCGCTCAACCACCTGGAGCAGAAAAACTCTGACGTCCATATGTTCTTTGTGGACTTCACATTTGCCTTCAACACCATGATCCCCCAAACCCTGATGGACAAACTATTCACACTAGGACTAAGTCCCTCCATTTGCAACTGGGTACTTGACTTCTTAACAAACAGACCACAGTCAGTGAGGATCCACAACTTCTCCTCCTCCACCATAACCCTCAGCACTGGCTCTCCTCAGGGATGTGTGTTGAGCCCCCTCCTGTTTACTCTGCTCACGTATGATTGTGCAGCTACCCATCCAGGCTGTCACATTGTAAAGTTTGCAGATGATACAGCAGTGGTGGGATGCATCACAAACAATGATGAGTCCAGCTACAGGCAAGAGGTGGAACACCTGGAGAGCTGGTGCAAAGAGAATAACCTTCACATCAATGTGAAGAAGACAAAGGAGATGATTGTGGACTTCAGAAGGAACAAAAACACCTACACCCCACTGAACATAAGAGGATCTGCGGTGGAAGTGGTCTCCAGCTACAAGTACTTGGGTGTAAATATGAATCATAACCTCAGCTGGAGCAACAACACCACCAGCCTGATCAAGAAAGCTCATCAGAGACTCTACTTCCTCAGGCGGCTGAAATGAGCTGGTCTGGAAGCTCAGTCCTCACCTTCTTCTACAGGTGTGCAGTGGAGAGCATCCTGTGCTCCAGCATCAACGTGTGGCATGGAGGCTGCACAGCTGCGGAAAGAAAAGCTTTGCAGAGAGTGGTGAAGGCTGCACAGAAGACTGTTGGAGTCAGTCTCCCCACCATCACAGACAACTACACCTCTAGATGCAGGAAGATGGGCCACCTGCATTATGAAGGACCCCACTCACCCAGTATACACACTTTTTGCCCTGCTCCCCTCAGGCAGGAGATTGAGGAGCATTAAGTGTAGAACCACTAGACTGAGGAACAGCTTCTACCCTGTTAGACTCATGAATCTCTAACCAGAATAATCACTGTGAAAAAATCACATCATGTTGCTGCTGATCTGTTTCAATGTCACTGCTGATCTGTTTCAATGTTGGTGTGTTCATGCGTGCTCATCTGCTTACACGGACTCGTGTTCAAGTTTGTGCAGATGTTCGACGTAATGTTTTTATGCTATTTGTGCTTAGTGTATATTTAGTTGATGTTTTTCTTAGTTCATATCTTAGATGTTATCATTGTTTTTCTTTTACATTTTATTGTCGGACGTAACTGTGACCCTGTGTACATAATTTCGCTCCACCACATGTACCACATGAGGTGCGAATGACAATAAAGAATCTCTGACTCTCTGACTCTGACTGATATTGCCAGAATCTTAGACTATCATTATTTGTGCCTGATTTCTTCTGTTTTTATAGAAACAAAGTCTGTGCTTGTCAGTAAACTTTAAGGGGAGTGTGGTTTTTACTTGCAAAAAGCTCAAGGACTACAGTAATTTAGACGCTCTTTGAGCCTCAAAGTGTTCAAGACATGGTGTAATGGGAATACAAAGCAGACAGCAACAACTAAACCAGCATGTTCCTTTGTTTACAGCTTGTTAACGTGCAAGACAAAAGCTTTGGAGATAATGTCTCTGACACCGCGGGAAGAGAAAGAGGTTACACACATATCCCCGAGCAGCTGCTTCTGCTGCTCAGGCAAAGCCCAGTAGGAAAACAATGCGGGTCTTCTGTTAGATTTGATTTTGCTCACAAACACCCACCTGGAACTGAGGTGCCAAGGGCTACAAACACCACAGCAGTCACCGAATCCTTCAGGCCAACGGTGCAGCCGAAATGTGAGGCCAAGTCGCCAGTCACAGCTGTCAGAGCGCCAATGAGGGAAATGGAAACAAAGAAGCAGGCCCAGCCATTCCAGTATTCAGTGGGTGGGACGAAAGCAAAGAGCACTTTCCAGAAAACTGTCAGGAAGTGCATGATGTAATCAAAGCAGGATGGCAGCCGTTCTTCTCCGCTTTCCTCCTCATCGTCATCACCTGGCAAACACAGATGCACAAAGAGCAAAATACAGGTAAGCCCAGTAGTGATTTTAGCCTCTTTTTGGGTGTGCTCAAGCACCCCTAAAATTTAAATCAGCACCCCTGAAAAATAAAGAAACCTTAAATAGTCCTCAAATCTTAGATTTATCAAAAATATTGAATACATTTGAAATATATATGGAATAAATGATGACACTCAGATAAGGCCAGTAAAACGTGATTTTTTTTTTGCACGAGTCAGATCCTCGATGCCTCCTGTCAATCCGTCCAGTAGGCTCGTCAGCAACTGACCAATCAGCTATCTCAGTTTGTCCTGAAGTGAAACACCCCTTACCTGCAGGAGCTCCACCCCGTTTCCTCCAAAACATTGTTGGGGTTTGGGATTACAAACACTTTGCGGTCAGAAGTATTTTGTGAAAAGTCATCAGAAAATATGGTTAAACAACGTCAGTAGGGTGCATACAATTCTGATAGTGTTACTCTGAGCATGCAAAGGGTGGAATACAGTTCAGTCCATTTCAAAAACCTAAACTGAGTCTGGAAAAATGTAAATGATGGATTAAGGCTGGTGGCTGACCTCATGATCATAGTTGCCAAGTTCGCTTATTATAAGCGACTTTGGGATTGTTTTTTTCTAAAGTGGCTTGCAAATCTTGTGAATCGTGTGTTGTGTTTTTTTTGGGCTTGTTTTGAACATGAAGTTGCTTATTTGGACTGGAGTTTCTTTCCGAGTGAAACTAGTTGATTATGTCCCAGCTCCGCACAATAAAGCAAAAGACAAGTGGTAGTCCCTTCCACGCCCCCGTTTCCTGTTTATTGCTCCCGCCCAAGTTGGCGAGGTGACAGGCGCACACTGTACACACTCCAAACACTCATACTGTGGCCGACCACTAGGGGGCTCCACTCACACGCAGATGTCAGGATGTTTTGTTTTTAAAAACATACGTAGAAAAAAATTACATACGCAAAATGTTTTTTTTTAATCAGAGCTTAAACGTATGTTATTCAAATTGTTTAGCATAATTTTGCTGTTGTTTATGTGTAATGCCACAATAAATGTATGTTTATAGTTTTTAAAAACGGCCTCTGTTCTATTTCGTATAGGCTTCGCCCTTTAAGGCTGTCGCTTAGTGGGTTTATCCCGATATGCAAAGCATCACACTGAAAAATTTAGTCCACGCCCACCTGCTGTGTGGGCCCCACCCGGTCTGTATAAATTACGTTAAGAGCGGGAAATCGGCTCCCATTTTTTCTTCAGCAAGCTAATAGCACTGTCAGAAGAACGAAGAAGGAAAGTTGTGTAGATGACCAAGCTTTGTTAAGAATGCTTGGCCCGGCAGTCGACCTCCGGTCATCCGGTGAGTTCTCCTCCCCGAGGAGAAGCTGACGAGCAGTCTTGTTTCAAGGTAAGCGCTGAGGAATATTTCTCAGTGACAGGTCGCTACACGCTGGACAACGCCATCTTGTGATTTTCCTCTTATCGCAGACCCTCGGAGCGAATCGGATGTTTCCTCCGGGACAGGCGGCGCTCAGCTGCAGCCCCCCACTGCTCATTCCCTCCTGGAGAGTGTCGTGTCGGTGGAGGGGGGCTGAGTGAATGCTCACCCCATCCCACCTCGTTTCGCATCGACGATCACACCGCTCACGGCCGACGGCGCCCTCAGGGGTTGCCTGGCGTAACCCAGGAGGCGGCTGACATGAAGGGACCTTTTTTACGTCCCACGCCTTTCCCGCCAGTTCGGATGATCCGGCGGGAAGGTTGTTTCTACTAGGTTCCATTCCGGCTCACCGTCTTGATCCATCTGGCCTCGTTTTCCCAACAGGATGTCCTACGGGCGAGGCCACAGACATTTTTTTCCTGGTAGATTGGGGGGGCCGGTCTCCACAGTCCGCACCCATCTCCAGAGCAGGGGTTCACCGAGCGGAAAGTCCCTCAGTGCCCCCTGGAGCCAAGCCTGACGGAGGCTTCATTGGAGCAAGATGTCGAGGTGGACCAGTGTCCCGTGCCTCCAGTTAGCGTAACCGAGACGGTGACACCGCTCTCCAACTGAGCTCACCAGTATGTGTTCCACACGGCCGTAGCGAACAACACGTTACGCTGTTGGCGTACACGTTCAGAGGCGGGAAGAGACGGTGGGCCCCTCTGACCTTCGGCTCGCTCCGCTCTCGTAGCGGCTGCTTGCTAACGACGCTGCCGGCCCTTGCAGTACGCTCCGTCTACAGGGCAGCTGACGTCATCCCCAACCGGTGCGCCTCTTTTGCTGTCTGCTGCTCTGCATCGCAGCCGGAGAACGAGGTCCCAGAGGCTCTCCTGGCTCGTCACTCCACCTTCCTCTCAGGAGAGCTGCAAGAGCTTGTTGGAGGTCCTCTTTTCATCAGCGAGAGATCATTTCAAGATGCTCCACGGCTGCACAACGCCTCCCCAGCTCTGCTATGCCAGCCCCTCCCGTCAGACGTCCCCGGCATCCGGTAGTTCATTTTTTTCCTGGACTTCACCAACAGGGGGCCCTCCAGGAGCTCAAGGGAAGATAACCAGATGTCGGTTTGCTGGAGGTGTGTTGATGACACGATGTGAAATAAACATAATTTTATGATGAAGTGTTTTTTAGCCAGGCTGTCAGCATGGATTATCTGACAAGCGGCCCCATCACACACACTCATCACGAATGAGCCTTTTTAAGGTTGTTTTCATTCACTGTCAGCGGTGCCAATATGCGCTCCCGCGTCATGAAAGTGCGCACGTAGCTCTCAGCGCCCGCCGTTCACGTCAACGTTAACGTGAGACCGCGGTACGAGCCCAGTAACGTATCTCGCTCTCGGCAGGAGCGACATGCGTTTTTCATCACAGTGGTGTCAAACGCGTGCTCCTGCGGCGTCAGCAGTTTCACAAGCCTCACAGCGGCTCTGCTCCTTCATCCTCAAAGAAGGTTTTCTGAATTAATACTGCAGCTCATGGAATCACTCAAAAGTTCACGTGATTCGCAGCCAAGAATGAACGTGTTTCTGCAGACTGAGCCAGTGGTGACCTCGCCCCACCGATGCCGTGCGCTGCTTCCTGACCGCACCAGTGTCAACGCGCACTCCCGCGGCAATCCTGACTTAAGGCGTCACATGAATGAGGGAGCGCACACACGACTCTTCAGGGCACGTCGGCTCATACGTGCACCCGCTCCCCGAACGTTTACATGGATCAGCTGCACACAACGTGAGCACAACACATGAGCTGCGTCCCACAGCAAACGCACAATGATTTGGATGCTCGGGGGCGCGCGTATTTTCTTTCTCACTCAGCGCGCACCAGCTCACATCAGTATGCATGTGAGTTTCACAGCATAAATGCGTGCCCGCTTTATAACTTATAAACGAGCGGCAATGAGCGTGCGCTCCAGACGGATGGGCGAACCGTTTTCATCCGGGGATTCACGCTGCAGTACAGCTCAAACCCCGGTGTGGAGGAACTCTGTGACGTTTTCTGTCATTTCTGAACAGATCTCGTCCCCTCTCGCAGAAGTTCAGGAAATTCTGTTTTAAATGTAATTTCTAGAGTCTCAGAAGGAGAGGAAAATGTAAGGTCCCTCTCTAATCACTTCCTGGTCCCAACGAACTGGAAAGATGAGATTTATTCTAGATTTGTCAATTTTTTGAACTGTGAGAAACAACACTCCATTATGCGCCTGAGCTGTTCTAATTCTGCTTTATCTGGACACCTGCTGCTGCTGAGCAGTTGGTACAGACAGGTGGCAGCAGTACAACTCACGTGAACCAGTTGAGTGATATCAGCTGTTTTCCGTCAGCAGACCTACGTCACACATGTCAGTTTTCACAAAGGCACACACATTTAACAAGCTGTGGGGGCGCTGTGGTTCTCCACACAGCAGCTCATTTAAATGTTTTTGGAGTGTCGCACGGGTTCTTTGAATGTGACTCAACACTGACCTTGAACTGCAGAATCATCAGGGTTTTTGATTCACACAGACAGCAGTGACTGTTGCATACATACTGGCAGGAGACGTATGCGCTCAACCCATGTGCCACATTGTGAGACAGATGCTGTGTGGGGTACACCCAATCTGCTCTCTATTGGAGTAGGGTACATCTCATGTATTCCAAACAAGGGGCGGATGTGATGTCCAAAGACAGTCCTTTGCGGCACGGGGACCTGTGACCTTCCACCCAGAGCTATGGCTCAGACACGGCAGAAATCCTGCCAGCGCCTGTGGACGTGTAGCAACACGAGAGAACGCTCAATGTCAACTATAATTATCGTGGAGCCACGGACGATCCACCGCTGGGGTGGACGTGCCTGCTCACAGCCTGTGGTCGTAATGCTTTTTCACCTTCCTCTCTCCCTCTGGTATCACGGTTTTCTGAACCAAGCTCAGGAGGAAGGACTGGCAGCTTCTCTGCCCCAAGTGCGTGAATGCATCATGGTTCCCAGGCCTACGACACTTGTTATCAGGGCACTCGTGGAACCTGCCGTGGAGGGAGGACGCTCTCCTCCAGGCGGGAGGAACGATCAGGAGTTAATCAGATTAGGCCAGCACCTGTGGTCTGGCCACTGTGCGGATCTTTTTGAGAGGATGGATCTCTCTCAAGATGTAGTGCGTACGATTGAGGATTCACGTGCTGCAACCACCACAGCACTGTTCACATCAAGTGGTCAGTTTTTTCAGCACTGCGGTACAGAGAAAGGCGTAGAGGCCACTTCATGTCCACTGTACAACATGCTGTCCTTTTCTGCAGCAGTCGATGGACAGAAATCTGGTGTCCAGCACGATTATCGTATGCTACAGCCATGTTTTCTTCTTGTCTCAAAGTTGTCGTAGACAGAACAACCTCTAATCATCCTCTGACGGAGCATTTTTTTTTTTTTTTTTTTTAGATGGCCTCCCTTCTCCCCTTACAGCCATCCTCTCCACACCATTATTATGAAATATTTATTCTAGTGACTATCTAGTGTAGGTTTTTTTTTTAATAGGATAGAAAGAAAGAAAAGA